ATTTTCTGGCTCCTTTTTCTTTTCCTTCTGCATGATGTCTTTTTTCCCTTCTTTCTCATGCAGAGAGAGGTACGTACAATTGCTTGACCAGATTGCCCGGCAGATGATTGATTTCTACAAAGACCTGGTGACTCAGCGAGTGATGGACCAGCGCATTTTAGAAGAACTGTGTAATTTTAAGCATGTTATTGAGGAACTGACCAGGTAAAAACTGCAATTATCTTAAACACAAAACAAAATGCAAAGTCATTTGTTCAGGGAAAGTGGAATGATTAAAGGTAAAGGCTCTTCTGCCTTCTTTTCATGTTTAGCAAGAGAACAGAAAGAACTGGATATCGTAGATAAGGATGTAGAGAAATGCAGGTTAACACAAAACTAAGGCTCTCAGTACGTTTGACAGGGAAAAGACTCCTGCTCTTCCCTCGAGGTTCCAGACGCGTATCTTAATCTGCTTTCCAGAGCAGTGTCATGATTATGGATGGTAAGGTTCAAATCTCAAAGAGAATAAGTACTACGTAACAGTCAAGGTTAGTGATCATCTACCCTCGAGGTGAGGTGGTTAGTGGTGAGGATAAAGAGGACAGGAGAGGCGTATCGGGGTGGGGTGGAGCAGCATGGCGGCCTGGCAGCATCTGCCTCGCTCCATTCTGGAGGATCCTCCTCCCCCATCTTCTTTCTGCTTTTTTTGCCAGCCTGATTCCATAGCCAAACCTGTCAAGATTCCACCCAGAATGTACACTAGATTTCTTGATTTGGTTTATAAAGTGGAAAAACTAGGAAGGGAAGTAGGCATAATAACTGAGAAGATACATCGATATAAACCTGATTTCCCAAGTAGAAACTTTTGGAAGCTTCCAACTATGAATTTAAAATTTCTTTGCTTTATTTCAGAGAACTGTGTCTGGTTCGGGCACATGATGTGAAATTAACAAAGGAAGTAGAGAAGGCCCACAGGGATTTGGCACGAGCTCTTTTAGATGCTGAAAAGAATGCCAAGTGAGTTGCTTAAAGTTTGTGTAGCATATATAGGAGAAAGAGGAAAAGCTTTTGTAGCTTCTGAAATGATAAATATGATGCTAACTTCTTGAATTCTCAAAACACATATAGCTTACTTTATCTGAATTTAGTTGGCTTCTCATTCTGGATGGAAAGAAAATAAAACATGATCTTTCGCTTGGAGACAGACTGTTAGTTTGAGCATTAATAATTTTTTGAATGAGGTTTGCAGGCTATTACTTTCTGGTTTCTAGAGGAAGGTATAGGGAGACAGGATACATAGCACAGACTCTGAACCAAACCACTGCTGTGCAACCTTGGGAAAGTTGCTTAACTTTTCTGGGCTTCAGTTTGCCCATGTTTTTATAAAATTGGGATTATAATATAACCTACCCCATAGGGTTATTATGAGTATTAAAGGAATTAATATAAGTAAAGCAGTTAGAATGGTGCCTGACACCATAGTCAGTGCTATGACAGTATGAGATATTATTCTTATTCTAGTTCCCTTTAATGAAATTCTTTAAGGTATGAAATATTCCAAACATTCAGAAGAAGAAAG